GAGAGTACGACTCGAGAAGAAAATGTGAAAGGGTAAAAGAGAAAGCGAATCTTACTGGAACTGAAAACCGATGCAAGGACATCTTGTTGATTTCCCGATGGGCTCTTCAGTTGTCTGGGTTGTTCTTGCGGCTGATGTTTGCTGAGAAACGTGGGACCAGCGTTTGCCGGGCCGGGAAGTCCGCCTGTAGGATTGCGAAACTGCTGAGCCGCCGCGGCTGCGGCGATCTGTAAACCGGAACTGGATAAAAAGCCAGAACTGAAATTTTGTAATCCAACGGGTGTAGCGCTACCAGTCGCCAAATTCTGACTGTGTTGACCGAATCCTTGAAGTCCATAATGAGTACCGGTTTGTTGCGTGGCGCCACCTGGTTGGTAAAAGCCTGTTTGCGAGCCGGGAAATACATCTGAAAACGCATATTTAGTATCATGTAGAATGCGGTATACTATAATAGTATCGGTATAGCGCGATGTCGAGATATTTTCGATACTTACCAGCCGAAGTGGCACTATAGTAACTATTTGCGGAAGCTTGTACGTTTGGGCCAGGTCTCTGTACCAACTGGGAATTGCCCATGTAACTACCACTTACCCCGAGCACTTGATTCGGATCATAGGGTATGTACGTTAACTAAAAAAGATAGCATACCAGGAAGATGTAAAGAGAACGGAAGACAAGAAGAATAAACGATAGGAATAACGTAGAAAGAGTTGGAAAATTTCAAGAAAATCGTCGAATAGAATCGAAACCTACTGGATTTGGTTGCGGAGCAGACGGTGCTTGGAAATGTGGAGCTTTTGTTCCAATCGCACCGATGGGCTGCGAGGATGGTTTTACACTCGCCGACATCAAAGAATTCGAGGAGGAACTGATCAGAACCGTATTCGGGTTGTTACTGAGTTGTTGATTCTGCCCGAACGGTGGGGCAGCAGCCGCGGTCTACGAAAATCAAACTTGTCGTTAACGCGTGTACAACGTGTACAACGTGTACAACGTGTCGCGTCATCGTAGAACGATCGAACTCGAGAAGAGCTGCACCATTTTACTCACGATACGATATTGGGAGAGATTGCTCTGATACATTTCCGGGGTAGGCGCATTCGGCGCGTGCGGAGGCGGCGGAGGAGCCTGCTGCAAGTAGACGTTCTGCTGGCTAAACGAATTTTGCAAAGACGGCGCGTACGGTGGATACTGAGTGAAAGGAGATCGGCTCTGGTCTAATTGAAACGCTCCGTAAAGACCTCCCGCTTGAGCTGGAAGTTGGCCGGAACCTGTGTTGAACAGCACGGCTGGTGGAGAAGGTATGGCAGACATGCTGCCATACTGTGCAGCTTGAGAGCCCGGGTACT